TGCTAAATTTGCCTTGGCAGCCGTCTTGGGAGCTAGCAATGCCTTGCTTTGGGGGAGGGGAGGCCAAGGCTCTCCTCAGGCTATGCTAACGCATGGCCAAAACCTTAGGTGGGAGGCAGATGCACTGATGGGACCTCTGCATGCCTAGCCATTGCCACAGGGGCTTGCGAAGCCAGGTACCCACCTTGGTCTGTCAAGGTAATTTCATCAGCGAATGCAAGTTCGCCTGAGTGCAAAATCTAATTACTATCCAGCAGCCAGGTCAGCTGATTACCTTTTGCTGACCTTCCCAGAATGTCTCCTAGCCTACCAACCTGCCCTAGTCATGAGGGGGGGGAGTGTCCAACTGTCCATCCTGCCAGCCCTTATGTCCATCCTATCTTTTTGTCACCTTTCTGGGAAGCCCCCCACCCCACCCCTTAACTCAGTCAAAGCCAGGAAACCCATAGATTCTCATCCCGAACTCACTCTGAATTCCTGGACCTTATTTCTTTCAAATTCTTTTGTGCTGTCTCCTGTAAATATTGCTGCTCTGCCAACCAAAACTGTGCAGTCTCATCCTCTCCACTTGCACAGAGGCTCCCAGTTCCACTTTTCTTTCCCTGAGACTCTGAGATGTTTACTTGCCTCCACTGCCTCACCTTCTTTTTCCTTGGGATCTTTGCAACTTCTGGCTCACGCTCCTTCTCTCAGCCTGTGGGTCATTGAATAGACCACATACTGTAAGTTAAGGTGATTTTGGTATCCTGGGACCAATGTTCCCTCTAAGCTGTGGAGTCTTGTGAGCAAAAATTCTACTTTGTGAGCTTACTGGCATTGAAGCTATGAGTGAGCAATTTGGCTTCTGCATAAGTTAGTTGGCTCTGGAGCCATCCTTCCTGAGCTAAGACAAAAATGTGTGAGCTGGAGGCTAAAAAACAGCTAGCTCACACTAACTCAGCTTAGAGGGAACACTGCCTGGGACTTGCAGCTTTAGAGAAAAAGAAATGGTAACAATGGAAATATTTCTGTCTTTAGCCCCTTTTTCTTGTCTGTGTGCATCTGTACGGGGGAGGGGGAGAGAGATAAAGCTGATTCCCCAAATATGGAAAGAGACTTGGTTGTGCTGTCCTGGACCCTACTTCAACCAAATGGTCCCATATTTTTAGGTCAGAGTATCTGAGAAGCCAGTATTTACTGAGATGTATTTAGAGATGTATTTAGGCTGCGGTGGCTTAGAGGTTAAGACGCTGAGCTGCAGACCGGAAGGTCTATAGTTCAGCAGTTTGAGACCTGAGTGCCGCGTGATGGAGTGAGCTCCCATCTATGGCCCCAGCTCCTGCCAACCTAGCAGTTCAAAGCAAGAAATTGCAAGGAGATATATAAAATAGGTACTGCTTCGGTGGGAAGGTAACGGCATTCAGTGCTCCTTGGTGTTTAGTCATGCCGGCCACATGACCACAGAGAAGTCTTAGGACAGCGCTGGCTCTTCGGCTTGGAAACAGAGATGAGCACCAACCCCTAGAACCGGATTCAACTAGCTTTCAAGCAGGAGAAACCTTTACCTTTACTATTTAGAGATTTGTACTGAGTATCCAGTATGTGAGTGGTGTAGTTGTTACAGTGCTGGTCTAAATTGGGGGAGGCCGGAGTTCAAATCCCCTCTTAGCCACACACTCTGAGATATGAGGAAAAGGGGGGGGGGTGAAGTATTTCCTTTCATACACAAATGAAATATTTACTCAAATTGTCTTAGTGAAGGAGTTCATGACATCTTTCCTCTTACACAGTCCTCTTTCTTTGACTAAGATTCAGATTATCGTGAGTGGAAAAAAATATGCTTTTAAAACCACATGATTAATTGTTGATGGCATATGGTTTTTGGAAATATAAATCATTTCATATTTAAATAATTTCACATAGATTACTAAGTGTGGGCCTGGACCAGGTCCACCCCGTGCCCCCTACCATGGGAAATGAATGTACCAAGCAGAGCTGCGGAGAGATGGAGGCACTGCAGTCTGCGATTAAGGAAATACCTGAAGTCAAGATGGCCTAATCACTGATTGTCACAGTTACTGTCTTATTTCATCCACATTTATACTTACAGACAGTTTGGTGGTCTTCTTTCACTTCTCACTAAGCAAAGCTGGATTCTCTTGTTTGAACTGGCTAACAAAGTTCCTTAAGAGGGTACTTTTCAACTCCCACAGCACAGAGTAATGTGAGAACTGGCCTTTAAGCCTTACTTAGGCAGCCTGAAGAAGGGTTGTATTTCCAGTTGACATTTCAGACCTTGGGATTTGCACACCAATGCACTCGAGTCCTCACACTCATAGACTGTAGATAAGCTCTTTACCCAGTTTCAGGGGCATAAAAGGCAGCTTGTCTGACCTGGTGGCATTGTGTACCTCACTTTTTCATTGCTCCATAGCTGCACAAAGTATAGGTGAACCAAAAACAAACAGGTGAAGGGCTGAAGAGAGCCTTATCATTTCATTCCTATCTTTATGACCTTGGGGAAAACCTGGGATCTGGCTCTCTGCCCACCAATGTTGCCCTGTCAGAACTATGGTAGGATTTTGTAGCTGGATTGGAGCCATGCTTTGAGGTCATTTGTGAATATCCAGCATATTGGGTGGATCTTGAAGAAGAGAACAGACCACAGAACATGTTTTATTGCTAAAGATACAATTATTTCTCTTTCCCATAGCCTGTGATCTTGGTGTCTCTCTTTTTCTCTCTCATTGTCCATCCAGTCAAGGATAAACTACACATGACATTAGGGATTTGGGGTCAGATTCCTCAATGTGTAATATTTTGGGGAGTTCCATGAACGAAGAAGAAGAAGAAGAAGAAGAAGAAGAAGAAGAAGAAGAAGAAGAAGAAGAAGAAGAAGAGGAGGAGGAGGAGGAGGAGGAGGAGGAGGAGATTGGATTTATACCCCGCCCTTCACTACCCAAAGGTGTCTCAGAGAGACTTACAAACTCCTTTCCCTTCCCCTCCCCACAACAGACACCCTGTGAGGTAGGTGGGGCTGAGAGAGCTCTTGACAGAAACTGCTCTTTTTCAAGGACAGCTGTGCCAGAGTTATGGCTTGCCCAAGGTCATCCAGCCAGGTGCAAGTGGAGGAGTGGGGAATCAAACCAAGTTCTCCCAGATTAGAGTCCGCGCACTTAACCACTACACCAAACTGGCTCTCAATGTTTGTTTTTTTAAGACAGCATGTACATGGGAGCCTGATTCCAAATAAGACTACAGCACAAGAGTGAGGCATTGAGCTGCCACCCACCCCTTCCATTTTCACAATTCAAAATAGCCCCAAGAAGTTGGTATCTGCCCCAGTGGGGCAAGCATACAAGTATTCACACAAATACCTGTACGTGGTCCCAGGGAGCCACAACGTGATTAGCCGGGGAGAACATTCAGGTATTGTCTGTTTGCTCCTCTTGAATGAATAGTGGTTCCCCACACAGCCATTTTGGATCAGGGAAAGGCCTATACCCTTCCTCGCTCCTTGCAGCATGATCTCAATCAGCTGATGGAGACGGCATGCTCATTCCCACTCTGTGTGTAGTACACCCCTGTTTTGACTGATACAGGCTGAGAGGAAAATATTGCATCAGTTTTACAACAACTTCATTGGTTGCCAGTTTGGTTCTAGGCCCAACTCAAACTGTCGATTTTTGTCTTCCAAGTCCTAAGCGTTCTGAGTCTCGGGCTTGGTTGTGTAGGCAAAGCTATCCAACAACTAATTTCCATATGTACCATTGGCTACTGCAAGCAGCCAATGTAGGGTTGCCAGCCTCCTGGTGGGGCCTGGAGATCTCCCACTTTACAAGTGATCTCCAGTTGACAGAGATCAGCTGCATTGGAGAAAATGGCTGCTTTGAAGGGTGGACTCTATGGCACTGGACCCTGCTGAGGCCCCTCTCCTCCCCAAACCCCACCCTCTCCTGGATCCACCCCCAAAGTCTCCAGGTATTTTCCAACCCAGACCTGGCAACCCTAAGCCTTTGCCCTCCGTAATATACAATGTTCTAATATATAGCCACTAGCCATATATAGCTGCAGTTTCATTTAAACTACCAAGAGCAACCAGAAGAGATACAGAATTTGGCTCATCACCAATTCTAGTCTCTCATCAAAAGCAAAAGTTCTCCCTTTCCACAGGGAACCATATTACATAGAGTACACAGTCTTCAGCTTTTTATTTAAGGCACTGCTGTTCCTTCAGCAACCCCAGGAAGGGTCAGGCTGCACAGAACAGAATACAATACTGGTTAAGGAGACATTTTCACAGAGCCGGTTTCATTGGCAAAGTGTACAAGCTTCTGAGATAAGCAAAGCTGATCCTCAGCCGGGATGAATTGATTTTCCTAACTGTCTCCGTTTTGGAGACACAATTGAAAATATTTTGGCCATCTTTGTTGGAAGTTTACAAGCCAAACCTAAGTCCCTTCCTCTGTTTTTCTCGCTTCTCCCCCAAGCTTGCCCTCAAATAAGAGCTAAACACACAGAGTGCAGAAATGGAGTTTAATTCAAAAACATACATCTTGCTGTCTAGATAAGAACCATGCGGCAGTCTCAGCTGATGGCCTGAATTACACAAGACGGAGAAGAGCTGCACTGAATACAGGTATGCCACATCCACATGTAGGGTTGCCAGCTCTGGGATGTGAAACACCAGGAGATTTGGGGGCAGAGCCTGGGGAGGGCGGGGCTTGGTGAGGGGAGAAACCAAATCAGTGTACAAAGCATAGTGTCCACCCTTCAAAGCAGCCATTTTCTTCAGGGGAACTGACCTTTTTAGTCTGGAGTAAATGATAATACTGGGAGATCTCCAGGCCCCATTTGGAGTTTGGCAACTCTATGTAAAGCATGGAGCCAAAGGGACACATGGGCAGGAGAGCACTGAATCCTCCCTCCACTCTGTGGAAGCTCATCTACCTTCACCTCTTGCATTTTTATCATAGCTGGACTCACTTCTGGTATTGGAGCTGTAATGTATCCAGTCCGGACATGCTTTGCTGAGACCTCAGAGGTGGGAAAGGGGAAATAGACAGAGTTAAAGCGGAATGTAGGTTCAGCACAGGCACAGAGACCTTGCCTGCAGATTCCTTTGGCCCTTTAAATCAGTCACAGATCCAGTCCTCATTTTTACACGATGTGGATCTGCTACCATCACATGTAGTCTGGGCCTTAGTTTGGGGTGGATTTTTCAACCCAGTGCCAAATTATTTCCCTGTGTAATGAAAGTAGAATGTTCTTCTCCTTGAGCAACACCTGTGCTGCTACATATGTCAACATGACTCTAAGGAGGTACTGCTCCTCTGTGTCCTCGCTAACCCTGGAACCCAAACTCCTTGTACTTGCTAGCCATGTCGTTCCGGAATATCTCCAAGGCCTTTCTCATTGCCACTTGGGAGTCGGCCCCAAAGTCCGCAGAGTATTTATCAGCAATGACGGCAACAATCACTTCAGAAATGAACTGCACAGAAAGAAGAAAAGGGTAATTATTCAATGCAGTATGAGTAATGTATATATATGGCATAGCTCAAGGCAGGTGAGGTGCTGTCAGGTCACTAAGAGGAAGGGGCCAGCTGTTAATCATAAATGTCTGCAATACTCGATAACACCTGAGGCCTGAGCACACATATTTGGAACAAAGGACTTGTTCCCCACACATGCATGTAGGTTGCCTGATTTCTCTACACTTTATAGCTAGTAGACTATATACATTGACTCCAGTGTGTTTCAGTGTGATGCTTGGCCACTGTCATGCCCAGCAATTTTGGAGTCTTCAGACTTGCCAAACTGGAGCATCTTCCAGAAAAGTTTGAGTCCAGTGGGACCTTTAAGACCAACGAAAGCTCACACCCTGAATAAAACTTGGTTGGTCTTAAAGGTGCCCCACGGGACTCAAACCTTGTTCTACTAATTGATTTATTGTATTGCACTTGACCACCAATGGTTATTGTTCGGATTCAACATAATATGCTTGTTAAAAGTTGTATATTCAAATCTTTTTATATCAATAAAATATATTGTAGAAAAACCTTGTTCTACTGCTTCAGACCCACACGGCTGCCCCCACCTGGATCTATTTTCAGGAAAGTTGCAATTCCTTTTTAATGGGGTTGACTTTTAGTGGCTGGGATTAAGTGAGTCTGAGGCGAGAGGGTGGTTTTCAATATATTTTATCTAGTCTAAGCTGGTTTTAATTGAGCGTTTTATGTGTACAGCCTTGTTCTTCTCCATAAGCTTGTAGGAGGGAAAGGAGCAACTAGAAATTTGACTAGAATAAATTCTTCTCCAAGAAAATTCTTCCTGAATGGGAATTCTAAAACTGGGTCTGTCTGGCACAACTGGAGACCTTTCAGTATTTCACAGATAAAAATGTCTGAAGGATGACACCATCCTCCTGGCAATGGTCACTGCTTCTAATTTCTCTCTCTCTCTCTCTCTCTCTCACACACACACACACACACACACACACAGCTGAAGTATCTGAAGTTATCAACTGTAGGTTACATTGACCGTTAACAGTTTACTTTTTAAAGAATGTGTTAATGGAATGTTTCCCAATAGATCTGATGATAGGCCTAGAATAGCTGCAACCCCAGACACATTCATTAACAATTATTCTCTGTTTAGGTGGGTATAGGGGAAATGATTAAGGGAAGTCTGGCACAAGCATTGTTTGTGCTTTTACATACACATGCATTAGAGTCAAGATGCATCCACCCACAGCCCAGAAATCTGAGGTTTAGTAGCAACCCAGTCTTTTTCCCAAAGGCAAGACTGGGACTGGGCTTTAGCAGGAACAGAACCAAAGCAAATCTGGCGTGGCTGCTGTGGGGATCTTTCCCAGTCCTGCCACCAATGTTCCCTCTAAGCTGAGTTAGTGTGAGCTAGCTCACAGTTTTTTAGCCTCCGGCTCACACGTTTTTATCTTAGTTCAGGGAGGAGGGCTCCAGAGCAAACTAATTGATGCAGTCGCCAAATGGGTCGCTCACAACTTTAATGCCAGTAGCTCGCAAAGTAGAATTTTTGCTCACAAGACTCCATACCTTAGCGGGAGCATTGCCTGCCACCCTAGCTCCATTTCCCCTGCCCTAGCCCCCAGTGGCTACCATTCCTCTCCCACACACACACACAAACACCAGAAGCATTTTTAGAAATGAGCTATTACTAGATCAGGAGGGAAGGCAATCAGGGCTATTTTTGGGCAGGAACGCACAGGAACGGAGTTCCGGCTGGCTCCCAAGTTGGCCACACCCAGCAGGAACTCATTAGCATAATAGGCCACACTCAACAGCAGAAGCTCATTAGGATTGGTTACAATTAGGGGTATGTGGCCTAACATGCAAAAAGCCCTGGGTTTTGACAACAATCAAGGTAAAGGGAATAAGAAGCAAAAGGTGGGTGTGGCTGGATGACCACACTTCTGGTAACATGGGGTGTGGCCTAATATGCGAATGAGCTGTGCTGTCGGGGTGTGGCCTAATATGCTAATGAGTTCCTGCTGTTGGGTATGGCCTATTATGCTAATGAGTTCCTGCTGGGCTTTTTCTACAAAAAAAGCCCTGGAAGGCATCATGATATAGCCCAATCTCGCCAGATCTTGGAAGTTAACCAGGGAGACTACCAGAAAAGACTCTGAAGAGGAAGGCAATGGCAAACCACCCCTGCTTCTCATTTGCTTAGAAAGCCTCTTGCTGGTGTCGCCATAAGTCAGCTGCGACTTGAGGGCACTATACACGCACACCCCTTGCTAGATCACTATAGCATTATAATATTACAACTAGCAGTAAAGCCCGTTGTGAAAACAATACAACGAGATCTAGAAAGAGGCTCTGGGCGAGTGCTCTGGCTGTGGGCAAACAGTGTCAATTTGCTGTGGTGACCTAAGCAGGGTATAATGACATAGTCCACCGTTTTCTCCGCAGGAGTTAGATGTCATAGTTTTCTTTTTTTTGAAATGTTTCATGATTCCAATAAAAAAATTTAAACATTAAATCGGATCATGCATACACCTCCCACCTCCGATCGCCGCCTGGAGTGGGTTGGGGGTGGGGAAAGCCTGGAGTGGGTTGGGGGGGAAGCCTGGAGTGGGTTGGGGGCGGGAAGCCGACAGTGGGTTGGTGGGGAAGCCTGGAGTGGGTTGGTGGGGAAGCCTGGAGGGGGTTGGGGGGAGGAAGCCTGGGAGATCGCCGCCTGGAGTGGGTTGGGGGTGGGGAAAGCCTGGAGTGGGTGGGGGGGGATAGGCTGGAGTGGGTTGGGGGCGGGAAGCCGACAGTGGGTTGGTGGGGAA